TCTTCAGAAAATTAACCCATGAAATAAGCTATAATATGTGAACTATAAACATTCTTGCATGTTGGCAGATAACCATGCTACACATTCCCCTCCAAGAACTGAGAAAGAGAAGAAAGGGAATAACACAATAGCAAAAAAATGCACTAATCAAATCCATAATCAACTTTGATGATGGAGCACAGATTCTAATCAAAACACAATGGGGTAAAGTTGCAACAGGTTGTAAGCTTGGAGCCGAGCGCTCTTCCCAGGGGCCTTGCCTGCATTTTCTTTTTAAACATCTAAAACACCCACAGAGGATTTCAATCACTTCTAATTACTTTTTTTTTAAAGAAATGAGTTGCAAGTTGAACACCAGGCTCCTAAAAACAGGAAATATCAAAGTATTATATATAATTTTTTTTCTTGCAACTGCTTCTTAAAAATAGGCCAACCTCTCCTCAAATAGCTCATGAGCATTCCTTATCTGAAGGCTGGTCGGGCAGGGTTTCTGAACTAACACAGAGCCTATCTCTAAAACAAGTCTTTGCACATGGTCATAATTTATACACCACGTTGATGGAGCAGATGCTATAAATGTTCATTCTTGGGGGAGGGGCCAGGTATCCCAGCACCAGGAAGGGCATCTGGGAGGGTGTGCTGCTGCAGAACACAGTTCCCTCCACTGGGGGGGATGATCCCCAGCTATAGGTTTGTGGGAGGAGTCAAGGTGAGGGGCTTGGGGTCTACAGTGGGGCTGCACCTCAGAGCTATTTTCTGGCTTGCTGGCTACGTTAGGTCTTTTCACACTTGATGGAGGAGAGCGGGCTTGGGGAACATGGGCTGTCGCTGGCTGAAGAGAATTGCTGCATAATAAAAGGAGCTGTGAAAATGGCCTCCTTTCGCCTGTAACTACCACATTGAATATTCTGGACCCCAGGCTAATAATAATCATCACTGTCATTTCCCAAGGGTCTGTTATGAACCAGGTCTTTTATGGACTTTGCCTCCCCAGCTTCTCATCACCACCCTGAATGCTCAGAATTACTGTCCACTAAGAAGCCAGCATGCAAATCCAATCCTTCAACTGTGAGAAGACTTTGTTCTTTTTCTCATCACCTTTTAAAAGAAAGATACTAGAAACAGAGCCATTGCCTATTGCATGAAGATGAGGCTTCCCTGTGATGACATCAAGTCCTGCTCTGCACCGCTGCACGGCCCTGCTCCTCATCCTTCCCTGTCTTGCCATCTCACTGTCTTTCCTCCCCACCCAGGCACTTGTGCCGGTTTCTGAAACCCAGCCACCTCCTGCCTCCTCCGCAAAGCCCTCTGGACTTCTCCAGCCATCACGGCCCTTCTCTTCCTTTGAACTCCCAGCATGCCTCTTAGCCCTGTCTCTGTTTTGCCCTATTGCCCTTGGTACGTCAGTCATGCCTCCCAACCAGACTATAAAATCCCGAAGGGCCAACCATGTTTTATTTACCCTGTTTGTCTGCCAGAACATGCTGAAGAAGGCAGCTACGGAGAGGGGGAAGACCACCAGCCTTGAAGCCAGAACAACCTGAGCTAGAATCCCTGCTCCGCCGTACTAGAGCAGGATGACTTAAAGCTAGTGACTCCACTTCGCTGTGTCTCACTTACTCTTCTAGCTCAGCGGTTAGAGCAGTGGTCTTATAAATTACAGCCTGAAAGAAATCAGGAAGTCTCTATGGTTACCTGTGGGTAGCATCGTGGTTAAGGGCACAGAGTCCACAGTCAGCCTGTCCAAGTCCTAATTCTGCTTCTGTTACTCACAAGGCCACTAACCCTGTCTTTGCCTCAGTTTTCTCTGAGTAAAATGACAGTAACAACACTTATTCCACTGGATTATCATAAGAATCAAGAGGCATTTTATATAATATCTTTAGCACAATTCCTGACATATAGGAAGTATTGTGTAATGATTTGCCATTATTACATTATTATTGTTATAGAAAATGCCATATCTGCTTTAAGTGTTACTGTGAGGATGAAATGAGTTTATATGTAAAGAGCCTGGCACATCAGGCCCTCAACAAATGGTTCTGCCCTTCCCTCATCTTCCCACTGTGCCAGTTGTACTAGGCAGGTGATTGATGCTCTGAAAATCCTTGTGAACCAGTGGGCACCTCCTCAAGGCCTTGAGAGAAGAAGCTTTGCCTTTTCTTACTTCCAGGCCATTAGATCTAGATAACATGCCCTATCTCTTGCTTAGCAATATAAAGAGCTAATTTTATTGTGTTCCTTGTTTGCCAAACACTGGATTAAACACTTTACATACTTTTCCCCCCTTAATCCACCCTATTTATGTGGTTGTTTATGTCCATTTTTAAAGACGGGAACACTGAGGTCCAGAGAGGTTAACTGACCCAGTCATCCAGTTATTATTCCATGGCAGAGATAGGACATCATGGATATCAACCTGACTTTAAAACCTGTGCTATTGCCCTGACCAGTGTGGCTTACTTGGTTGGGTGTTATCCCACAAAGCTAAAGGTCACTGGTTCAATTCCCAGTCAGGGCAATGCCTGGATTGCGGGTTTGGTCTCTTGTCAGGGTGCACACGAGAGGCAACTGATTGATGTTTTCTCTCTCTCATCCCTCCGTTCCCCTCTCTCTAAAAATATAAATGCATAAAATCTTAAAAAAACAAACCTGTGCTATTGACCACTGCACAACTCAGCTTTCTGTCTCAAAGCCCCTAAATAAAAGGAGAATCAGAGGCCCAAAGACATCGTTTGCCATTTAGTTCATCATTCTCTAAGTATCTCCTAGCAATAAATACTATGTTTTGGATCAGGGACTATAGATGTCAAGCCAGATACAGTCCTCAAGCCATAATGGAGAGGCTTTCCCTCATGGTGAACAGGCAGTGTCCCATAGACTGTAGCCTGATCCAAAGAAGGGAAAATCCCTTTTACCAAGGTCACTTTGATGCCAGGGTGGGGCACTGGGAACAAGGATCTGCCACGTGCCAGAGAAGAGCCCCCAGAAAGCCCAAACACATAAGTAAAGATCAGACTGGTAAAAACCAGGATAGCCTATTGGGGAGTGGTCAATTTCCTTAGCAGTCCATCTAGACCATGCTCAGGGTCAGTGCACTGAGGGCAAGGCAACATGGAATGGGGCATCCTGGGAAATGTGCATCAAGGGTGAGGGAGGGAAGCAAAGCCTTGAGGGAACAGGACCGTGCCAGACCCTCTGTGAGCAGCAGCAGGACATTTTTTCAGGGAGGAGGCAATGAATCACCTTTCCAGAGCCTGCCCAGTGCAAGTCTTCCAATAATGTTAAGTGAAGGGTCAAACGGGCAAAGGCAGAGCAGCTGCCTGGGTATGAACAAGCAACCCCAGCATCTACTTTCCCTCTGATTCCTCAGGCCCTCCTCATCAGCCTGGATGTGTGTCATAGCCTAGAGTCACTGCTCTGGCCTCCCACACACCGCCCACCACATCTCATAAGCCCCGCCTCCCAGGATGAAGGGGAAATTCTGACAAGACTGTACCCCCCGAGTTCATTCCCATATCAGAGCTCACTGGACCAATCCTGCAGCCAACAGCAGAAAAACAGAGCAGAACACAAAAACCCTAGCCGGGACAGGCCCCAGGAGCACTGGGGAAAATCTCGCCTTCCTCCCACACGCCATCACTCAAACCTGTCAGCTTCCAAAAACATTTAGCAAGTGCAGCAGCTAGGGGCATGCTTATCAGCCTGGCGTGGGAGCTTAATCTGCTTTGAGGGCCTTCTCCAGCCCAGAGCTCCAAAAGTCTGCTTACAATTAGCTTCCAGCTCCAGTTCCTACAACAGAAAGGCTAGGAATGTGTTGAGTTCTAGCCTCTGATCAGAGAAAGCTCCAGGAGAAGGTGGAGACAGTGTCAGTAGAAAAGTAAGTGCCAAAAAGGTCAGCTGGTCTGTTGCCACTTCCCTGACACCAGCCCCAAACTACCTCCCCCTCTGCTTTCCCGTTCCTCATCTCTCCTGACCAGGACAGTCACATCCGTCAAGTCAGCCTGTCCCCAAAAGTCCCTGATGACTGACTGCCAAGAAAATACGACGTGCCCCTGCTCCCTCCTACCACAAGAGGGAAGAAAAACAGCAGGGAGGGCAGGAGGCCAAGAGAACCTGATTGGCCCTTGCTGATTTCCTTAAAAGAGATTGAACGGCCAGAGCCTGCCACCCAGCCGAATTGGGTGATGTGAGCTCCGTCTGGAAAGGTAGAAATCACTACTTCTCTTCAAGCCACCCCTCACCCCCACACCCAGTCACCCGGGCCACAGAGCTACCGGCTACCCGCAGCAGGATCTACTATCCAGGAAGGAGGGGCTTAGCTTCGGGCCGCCATTCTGAGCAGCCACCCCCACCCCCACCGCAACAGCCAGCCAAGACGCTAGGAGTCTCCAGCTGGCTGCTTCAGCTGGTGCACCGGGCACTCCTACTGCAGTCCCAGCGCCGTGCCCGCAATCCTGTTAGTCCAAGGGATGAAGCAAGGGCAGGTCATCTTCAAGATGAGGGAGCAGGTTCACTGCCACCCCTAGACTCCTTTTCCTGGATATTGCAGCCACAGGGGCATCGAGCCCAACAAGGCCTCTGATCGTTCCTTGTCAGGGATAAAATCTCTGCAGAACCGACAGACAGACAGACAGTCGATACAGCTTTTGGGGGGCCAAGCCCTCAACATGCAGGATTTGACATTTCCAGCGCTGACAGTTAAAAACAAAACAAAACAAAACAAAACAAAAAAACACCCAGCTATGCCCCCAAAGGAAGCCGCAGGCATGCCCGCACTCGGGTCTCAAACGGATCTTTAAGGCAAACCTAGGCCACCCGGGCCACACCCACCGGCCAGGCTACTCTCCTGGCGCATCCCCCAATCTGCCGGCCTAAGTGGATTGGTTCCCTTCTCTGCCCGCAGGGCAGCCCTTTCTCCCCATCCTGCCATGCCACCACCTAAAAAAAGTATTCACCAATCCCCCTAGAATATTGTCCCGGCACTCAGCCCCTCTCACCTGGGTATCGAACCCGTTTTCCAGCGAGCCGCTCTTCCGCAGCGGGAGCCCCTCCCCCGCCGGCTCCTGCAGCCCCTGCGATTTCAGTGGGATCTGGCTAGGGAAGGTGGTCTTGCTCACCTCCACCTTGCTTCCCAACTTGAGGTAGCAGGGCTGGGGGCCGGCCCGGGCCGGGGGCACGTGCAGGATGGGCGCGGCGCTATGCACGGGTTTGGGCAGTCCCGACTTCATTTTGGAGGCGACCAGGATGGCCGGCATCTTTTCGCGGGGCTTCGGCTTTCCCAGCACGTCCCTGGCAGCGGCGGCGGAGGCGACCGCTAAAGGCAGCGCGGGCAGCAGAGTAGGCGCCGGGCCTCGGCCCTCGAGGCGCCCACCACCAGTGGAGGGGGAAAAAAATCCCCGGGTCGGGGAGTTCGGAGCAAAACGATGAGCGCGCCTTCGAGATGCTGGAATGCTGCGGAGGACTAGTCGCGGCGCTCAACTGGTCCCACCTGGATGGATGCTGCAGCCGAGTCTCACGCCCCTTCTGGGCGACCAATTCAGGGGCTCTGGGAGCTCAGGGGCTGTTGCCTCTTGTGATTCTCTTCCTGGGAACCTGAGGCTTGCAAGCCCATATTAACTCTTCACTGCATCTCCGAAGCGAGGAGGCCCCTTTGGAAAAAAGGCGGAGGGGACCCAAGCCTCCTGCTCCTGGAGCCTGCGGATGTGAGCGGGCGAGGGAAGGAGCTAGCTGCGGAGGAAGGGAAGGAGAAAACCGCGAAGGAAGAAGAGGGAGAGCGCACGGAGCTCAAGACGTCTCAAGACCACCGAGAGGCAGCTGATGTCCTGAGCGTGAGCACCGCAGTGTCACCCACAACGCAGAGGCGCGGCGAGAGCCCCCGAAAGGTCTCTCTAGGCGTGACAGTCACCACTGCCCAGAAGCCCCCCGGACAGATAGCACCTTAACGCCTGCGGGTCTGCACATGCTCCGTGCGCTATAGCGCAGCAAGGCTGTGGCCGTGGGGCGCGGGTACCGGGACGCGCGGCTGGGCAGGGCTGCGCTCGAGAGCGGCCGCCGCACTCCCCGGGAAGGCTGCGCTGGCTGCGGGGCTCAGTGCAGGGGAAGACAGGCTGCGGCCGGCAAGGCTGCGGCGCGCGCTGACAGCCGGGACCGCCCCAGCGCGCCCATTGGTCCGCGGCGCGCCTATCAGCGGCCGAGGATCACACAGCGAGGGGGCGTGTCATGAACTCCGAGGCTGCAGCCGAAACTCTGGGGCCGCGCTTGGCAGCAAGTACAAAGCGGGCTGGTGGCCTCTCTGCGGCACTGTTCCCGCGGCGCGCTTCACCGCGGGCCAACACTCCCGCTCTCTGAAAACTCCTTTTAAAAAATGCCCTTTCGAACGCAAACGCCCGCCTCCGGGCCCCGCAGGCACGGCTCGGGGGAAGTTTTGTTTCCTTTTTGAAATTATTCTGGTCACCTTAACGGTTTAAGTCTTCCGGAGTCTCGCCCGAGGCCCCGTGGCCCCCCATCTGGCCTGGGCAGGGCTGTTCCTCGTCTCCCGCGTAAATGACAAGCCAGCCATTTCTCTTCTTTTCTGCCTGCTCTGCCAGGCAGCCCGGGGGGCCTCCCAATAGCTTCCTCTTCGGTTTTCAAAGGCTGCACATTTCACTTAACTATTTGAAGTATTTATGGGCAAATACAATACCCAAGGAAGCTTCCCGCCCTGAAACAGCTCCTCCTTGCAATCTACCACAAACTCTGTAATTAGAGTGGCCCGAGGAAGCCAGGAGAGGCTCCATGACCCTGGCTGGCTCAGGCTAAACCTTGCTGCATTTCATGTAGGAGCCCCTCCCCGGCAGTGCCTTGGACACACTGGCCCCACAGGTTCCTCGACTTGAATTCCCCGGAGGATTTCATCCCTCCTCTCAGTTGCAGTTTGAGTTCCTTGCTGACTCAAAGGATATGAGAATTGAAAGGGATAATCCAGGCAGGCCAGAACCCTCTCAGTTCACGGATGCGGAGCCCCCACCCTATAAAACTGCTTGGATTTAAATTGGGCAAGTTCTTTAATCTTACGTGCATCCTTAGAAAGCTTTGGTTTTCCCTTGCAGTAGGGAGATTTGACTACATTTCTGTAATGTGTTGTTGTTTGGATTAAATGAGATAGTGCATGACGGTCGTTTGGCACAAGTATCTGGCCATGTAAGGGGCCAATAGTAGTTCAGTACTGTTATCCTTATTAATTACTGCTACTGCCCTCCCCCAGTCATCTTTGCCTATATGTTGTTTGTCTTCTCTGTCTCTGAGATGCAGGTATTCTCCATATACCCACCCTATAGACTGATTCACAACACTGATAGCATTGATTTTTCATTATCCAGACCAGAAGAAACTTCCATTTTAAAACAGTACTAAGAAATAAGGTGCTTTCTTACCCTGGTCTGTTCCCTCTCCCATCTTATCCACCCCCCTTTCTATATTCTGTATAGCAACTTTCTACTCTAGCTGGGCTAAAACGCACACAGTGTTGTATATAATATGAGGTATCCTCCCTTCCTCTGAAAGTAAATCACGTGTGGTCTGTGCCACTTACTTAGCACTCTTCCCCTTGCCATCCAATGCCACTTAGTTATTGATGGTTTCATGTGTTTATTTTCTTCTGAGAGGTAGAGAGAGTCTGTAACCGCATTTAAACATTAGATTCTTTCAAGTGTCAAGTATAACACTGTGGATAGAAGAGGTGCCCAGATTTTCAAATGAATGAGTGATCGCTACCAGCAGCAATCCTCCAGGAGAAGAGCCATTTAGATTCAGGTACATAAAGTCACAACAAATATTATGCTGCCTTAAACCTTAGAACTCTCCTACCCAGAATTCTGGTTTTGACAGATGTACAAAGAGTTATGGAATGATACTGTAATTTTTGTCTCTAAAGGTCATGGAGATATCCTGAAGTATCTCCATGGCCCTAATGCAGTGGTTCTCAAAGTATGGTCCCTGGACCAGCTGCAGCACTAGGAAACTTGCTTGAAAAACCTCCCCCACTATGCCTGCACCTGAAGCTAGTACAAAATTATACTGAATATCAACTGTACTTGAAAAAACAAAAATAATGGTTTTAAAAAAAAACCTGCCCCAGACCTACTGAACTAGAAAGCTCTGGAGGTAGGGCCCGGCAATCTAGGTTTAACCACTATCTAACCCAGGGGTTCTGATGCATTCTGATGTTTGAGAGCCTCATCCAGCCCAATGAAAGTAGCATGCGCCCTGGCTGGTGTAGCTCAGTGGATTGAGTGTGGACTGTGAACCAAAGCATCACAGGTTCGATTCCCAGTCAGGACACATGCCTGGGTTGCAGGCCACGGCCCCCAGCAACCGCACATTGATGTTTCCCTCTCTCTCTCTTTCTCCCTCCCTTCCCTTTCTGGAAAGAAATAAATAAAATCTTGAAAAAAATAGCATGCAGTCGGTGCTCTTCTAGGGCTTCTTAACCCTTAATAGACATAAGCATTACTGAAAATCTTGCTAAAATGCACACTCCCATTCAGTAGGTCGGGAACTGGGGCCGGGGCGAGGCGCAGAGATTCTGCTCTCTGACTGAGCTCCATGCTGGTGGTCTGGAGCTTTTGAGTAGTAAGGCTAAACCATAGGTAGCAAAGGGTTTCATCTCCAGAGTCATCTCAAGTTAAGTGACTTTGTGTCACACTGTGCTGGAAATAATTCTGAGGGTACATCTGTGTAGTTCAGTTGTAAACAGCAGTGTGATTAATTAATAATGTCAGTCATGGGTATAGAAATAGAAATAATGGCATACACGCTATGTGTTTGCCATCTTTGATCTCCCGTTTAAATCGTATTTGCTGCCAAGGTCATTTTTGAATGTGTACCCTCAAATGTGGACTAATATGAAAAACAGAGCATTCTTTTTCTTTCTTTTTTATTTTTATTTTTATTTTTTTGTATTAAAAGTATCTATTACTAGTACTCTAGAATCTGGTAAATATATGAGCATTCACCTTAATGCTGTGGGACTTATATAACTCGAGTCTGATCATTTCTAATCTTTCTTCACAGAAAACAAGTGAATCTTTTAAAGTATGTTTTCAAATTTCTTTTCCTGCCTCCTCATCTTTAAATAATTTTATTTGTTCTTTCCTGGAACATTTTTCCTTTCCCTTTGTATCTTTCCTATAAATCTTGATTCATTTATGTAAAACAAAATAATTTAACAAAATAACCAGACAAGTGGGAAAAAAGCTGTTTTCCCCCTGCAGCAAAAGAGATCATTGCAAGGTTCCTCCTTAAATAAGATAATCTCAAATTATAAAGATATTCTATAAAGTTAGTTCCTTCACATAGATGCCATGTTAACATGAAAAGTCATTTTAAATCAATATGTTTGGCAAGGATTGTTAGCTAAAGAAATCATTGAGAATGGCAAACTGCTTTGGAAAAAGCACACAATCCAGTTTTTAAAAAAAAATGTTCTTTTTTAAAATTATACACACTATGGGCAGCCCATCTTAAATCTCAACCTCGACAATCTTTCCTTCTTTTTGTTCTATCTGACTCTAAACTTTCAACGTGGGCCACAGGTAGTGATGGGGAATTTGAAATTTACTTTCAAAGCTCTCAGGACCACGGAATCACCCTAAGAGTTCGGACAGCTCCCTGGATGCAGGAAGAGCCAACCTCAGCTCAGGGTGGGCCAGCTGTCCCGGCCACCCTCCCCTCTGCCCCGTTCTGATCCTGACATCATCCAGTGGTGGTGCATTGAGTGGGACCCAGGCTTTAGAGCTGACATCTGCCCATCCTTCATTAGCGTTAAAGACCCCCCGGCTGTGCCTGACCTGCCAAGAAGGCAGTCCTGTGAAGATCCTAAAACATCTCAATGCCAGCCTATCACAAAAAAATGCAGGGATCTGGGGAAACAATCAACAGCCTCTTGGAGACCCCTCACTATGACAGATGCAGGGACATGTTACAAGTCTCTGAAATAATAGAAAATGTGAAACATTCATGAGTTTATTTGGGAGTAAAAAATCACAATAGCTTATTTTCAAAAGCTCACTGTTCCTTAATTTTCTAGGACATGGTTGACAACTAGGACACATATCTCAGAGATGGCATGAATGCCCACCCTTTGGCAGTGGCTGAGGTGAGAGCCCACTCATTCCAGACTGCAGAGAAGTGGAGGTAAGAACTTTAGGATGGCTCTTAGAAAGTCCGTTCACCCTGCCCCCACCCCCACTACTTCCAATCTACCTTCTGCCAGATGGGTCTGTCAGCAGGTCAGTATGCACAATGGTGATCTCTGGAGGACTGTGGGTTCTCCCTTCTGCAGACTCTGGAGTGTGGGGAGTCTGTGTGAAGGGGGGTGCGCGGGTGTGCATGTGTGTGTTTATAGGCATTGAGGCAATGACCTTGATTAAAATGTTATAGAGCAAACTATTGATTAATTAGATATGGAGTAACTCAATCATTAATTGAATGAATAAATTGTTGAGAGTTACCTATGTGTCAGGCAGCAGACATTGTGATAGGGAGCAAATAATAAGTTTTTGTGAGGACCACCCTTTTTCACAACTGAGAAATAAGGAACTCACAATCTAGTCAGGGGAGCAAACAGAGAAATGAATGACATGGTATTACTAATACTTTAACAGAAGCAGTGCAAAATATACAGTGATAAACAAGGCAAGAAGAAGCATCAGCTGTTCATGGGGTTAGCAACTAAGTGATTAATTTAACTTTCTGCCAAAAAAAAAAACAAAACCCGGAAAGTAACAGAGAGAATCTTTTCTTTCCACTCTTAGTGTTGAAACTCTAAGAGACATGGGTCCACTCTCCTACCTCTATAAGTTTATAACTTTCCTCATTCCACAAAGAATTTGAGGATAACCTATCTTCAATAAGCTAATGGCTAAATATTAATAAGAACAATGTAATAGAAAAACATTTAAAACTTAGACTGTGACTACTTTTGCCTTCTGTAGGTGGGGGAAGGAAGTGTAGATAAATCACATCAGTGGGCATAAAAATCACATATCACTCCCTCCCATATTCAGGCACTAGGTA